TTTTGCATATGCCAATTTAAAAAGGAAATGCCTTGATAAGTTCGGAATATTAGAATATCTCAAATTAAACAAATTATTTGTAACGATTTTTATTTTTTAACATTTATCATAGTTACTATTACTAATATAACCAAAAATAGTTATAATTACGTATATCATATTTGTATTACAAACTAGCTTTCGCCCGCGACTCTGTCCGCGTGGAATTAAAAAAAAAGTAAGTAGGCAATGTGTTTTTCCAGACTATGTTCTACATCTATTCCGAATTTCATCAAGATGCTGTAAGCCGTTTAGGCTGAAACTCTAACAAACATCCATCCATCCAAATTTTCGCATTTATAATATTAGTAAGAAGTAAGATTAATAGAAGGTTACTTTAATTTTTTTTAAAGCTTATATAGGCTATATAAAAGCTTAACCAGGAAAGAAAACTTGTCAAAAGAGCGTCTCTATCACTAATATCATTACGTCATGATGCAAGTAAAATACATGAATACTTAAAGAAATTATTTTTACATTTATGCGATATGGTGATGTTTATACTGGTCAGATAATACTCGTATATGCTATACACGAAACTTTTGCAACAAATTATACAGTTCAAAGAACTTCAATACAAGTTTCACTGCTTTGTACAGAAAATCCTGCTTCCCGTATTGACAAATTTTATTTTGTTTTTAATTTCTATCGCCATTAAAATACCCAAAGTTACGACGGACCTTTATCAGATATTAAAAGATTTCGATCTTTATACGTTGTTTGGTAAATCAAAGGGTTTATGAAAGGTTATTTTCCAATCTCAATGTTGCTATAAAATTGTTATAAAATAACAATCAAATTTTAAGATATGATGTTACAGCAAAATTAAGATTGCTTCTTAAAATATGAGCCAATGAAAAAAAGCATTTAAGATATTTTTTAATTGTAAATAAAGTCAAGGAATACTGTGACAATTATGAATATTTAACCGTAAAATTCCATTCCTGAGAGTGCTTGCTTAAAACATATTGAAAAAAGGAAATATGACTTTTTAATATACTTTCAAGTTCTTTTACATTATAAACCCTGAATTAACAATAAATACTTTCAAACTACTTATTCCTGACAGAGATTTTAAAAGTTAAAAAAATTACCTTATTAATTGCTTTAAACTATGCTGTAAATGTTGGCTACTATAGGACTAACAGCCGTATCCACTAATGTGCGTATCAAAATGTATCAACTATAAATTTTTATGTTAGTGTTTATCACAAATAAACCATTATCACAAGGACCTATGTTAAACATAAAAATCAACAGCTACGAACACTATTACGTTGCTACTGCCAACCATTTAAAGTAAACATAAATTATAACTTATTTTTGATACTCAAACATGATTAAAATATAGATAACTAAGATTTTACACTAAATCTACCGATTTTGCGGTCAAGGGTTCGAATCCCGCCATCCGACTATTCGTCAACCATATTCTAGCACAAGCCTAGAGCTTAGTTGGAATGATTAGAAGAAATGTTAGTTAATTAACGAAACTTTACTCATATTTTTATTTAAAAAAAAAAACAGATTGTGATTACTTTCCTTTTCTTTTAAAAAAAATAAAGTGGAATTGAGTACCTCCTTCTATTGGGAAGTCCGCCAAAAAGACAGGTTAACCAATGGAACGCCATAGAACATTCTCGAAGTTTAGGACGTTTGACAAAACCTGTAACTTTGATCGAAAGCATTGAAACCGTAGTGAAATCATAGTTAGATAGACATAGGTTGGCTTCCTATTGTAAATAAATAAATAAAAAAGTTGCGAAAAAAACGACAGTTTTTTCCCATATTATGTGAACAATTTTGTTAAAAAAGACATTGAGTTTTATAATGTGTGATGATATTTTGTTAGGTTTTTTTGTGCTTAAAAAAGGCAACGGAACGAGCCGCAAAGAATGCAAATGCTGTCGTCAATTAATAATTTATTAATTCTAGAAAAAACGCTAATAAAATGATTAAAATCGATGAGTTTTATAAACGTTAAAAAAGTTGTAAGTGTTTTTATTATTTTTTTTTCATCGGTTGTAAAATTGGTAGCGTTCAAAGACTTCTTAGTTCTCTTTACAGATTTATGTATTCACATCTGTGATGCTTATCTAAATATTTATAATTCCCACGAAAATCTCTTGATATTTATCAGTATTTATTCTAACCTGTTTAAAAAAAATGTTTATATTTAGGCGATTGATTAATTAAATAGTATAACGGCCTATAGATTACACGTGTCTACATTTTACTTAATATTATAAATGCGAAAGTTTAGATGAATGGATGTTTGTTAGAGTTTGTCGCCTAAACTCTTGAACGGATCTCAATGAAATTTAGCATTGATATAGAGGATAGTCTGAAAGAACACATAGGCTAATTATTTTTTTTGTTATTCCACGCGGACGGAGTAGCGGGCTAAAGCTAGTATTTTATATTTAAAATATATTTTATTACGCTATTGTTACTTCCTCTATATGTGGTAATTACGGTTTATAAAGCCAAATTACCTAATCTACATATTATTAACTAATTCTTTATTATTTTTTCTATGCAAAATCAAAATAATTTATCGACCTAACTTGGGTTTATAAAACGGTTTTGAGGGTTTTAGGAACAAAAAGGTCTATGTTAAAGTAAGATTAAGACAAGTTCTTTTGTTGTAGATCCCCAATGGAGAAATAAAGTAGGGTTGCTCATGTATCTCAAGGGGTTGCTATATTAACTCGAACATCGGTCATCAATCGGTACCCTTTTCAAGTAATATTGATCCTTCAAAGATTTAAAGATTTACTTAAAGTTTTTACAAAAAAATGTTGTAACAAAATTGTGGTCGAGCGACTGCTTCTAACTACTACATTAAATTTACGCAACTTTATTAGCTTTCTCATATTAATCTTTTATCTAACAAGTTTTGCCATAGGCAATAAATATGCCTAATTTATTACTTATAGTCTGAAACCAGCATTGACACGAGCCTGAAATTTAAGGCACACAAAGGCTGTTTCTTACGTCAATAGTGGCCTTTTAAAACTAACCGTTGCTGGATTATACAAGATTATCTGGTTCTTAGTTGGACAACTCATTAGGTATATCTTGCTAATTATACTCATATTTTAAATGGGAAAGTTTAGATGGATGATTGGGTGATTCTTAGAGTTTTCGATGAAATTTGGTATAGATGTAGAGGTTAGTTTGGAAGAACATATATGCTACTTATTTTTGTTTTTTTTTTTTTTAATTACACGTGGACGGAGTTCCGAGCGGAAGCTAGTTGTTTATAAATCTATGGACAATGGAAATATTAACATAGTAAAAAAGTGTCTATAAATTCGTTAGTAAGACTCTCGTCACACTCAGGCTGTGAACAGTCGAATTGTGCAATGTAAACTGACGATCATAAGCAAAAATAAGAACTTTTAAAAATTCGCCTACACTTGTTTTAACCTTCATTTAAAACTGAACGTTTCTGGCGGGTTTTAATTTTTTTTAAATTCTCAAGTAACACGCAGACGTGATTTTTTCTCTAATATCTATAATTTTTTTCTAACCGCAAATGGTATAATTCGTCACTGGTCATTAAAAGGTGATTGTAATTCCGTTAATTTAAACTATAGTATTAAAAATCGGGTTTACGATTTCGTAACTTTAAAATGTACGTTGCAATGTATTCAATAAATGTTCATTTAATACTTCCTTTTATTGCTGATGACAAAACTTTGTATGGACGTTTTGGTCAGCGATTTTAAACAATAGTATTACTTTACGTGGCACAAAATAATATTTTAACACGCACTAATGCTAATTGTGTATCAAATTGTATGGCGAAATTATTTTTTTTATTTTTAATGCGGTTACTCGGTAATTTAAACCAATAGCTAGTAAAATTTGAAAGTGATTTTTTGTGTTGAAATATACTTCTAAAATGCTCCCAAACTTAGGCCAAATAAGAGATTGAGAATAACAGTACAAAAATTGGATGAATTCGCGCACAAACAACCCCAAAACTACAAAATATAATACAAAAAAAACCTTTTTTCGTACCTTAATAAGATTAGATATTTATTACGAGATGCATTTAGTTTTTTATTCAATCGACTCGCATTAATAAAACGTCGCTTTGTCTTATGTTATCGCATCCGATTTAAATGAGAATATTCAAATTAAAATTTAAAATAATCCAGTCTCAATTCATCAAGGTTGGATGCCTTTAAAATAATTTATACAAATCCGAAAAGCTTGCACGCGCTTCTAATAAATTGAACAGACTTGATCACTACAAATCAAAAGGTAATTAACATGGAATCAAATTTATTAACGTTAAATAATTATAACGATGCTTCTAGAATCCTGTCTATAACGGACATAGAAAAAAAATGTTTAAACGTTACAAAATAAAATTAAAACGTAGGATAAAAGTTGTAAGGAATCAATAAAAGCTTTAATTTATTATTTGTTTACAAAAAAAGCATAAAAATTGTCAATAGTTTTTGGGTGTCATCAAAAATAATTTTCATTTGAGGTTGTATAAATTAATTTGATTTTAAATATCGTTTTAAAAGCGGTTATACTCTATGGTAACATATATGCATACAAATCTATGTAAATTGGTATACAGTTCTGTTGTAATAGCAGATAACTAATATAGATTAACCAAAAATATAAAAAAACCCGACATGATGGCGCTACAATCGACTTCTTTAAAACATCTTTGCAATATGTGCAGAAAATTAGTTCCATTTTTATCCGCCGCATGGTCAGGGTTTTAATATTACTGGTCAAGCTATAATAGTTTCACGTTAAACAATTAAGTAATGTTTGTTGATTATTGGACACTTCAGAATTCATTCACGACTTTGGTAACAGAAATGGTACGTTCTATTGGATAGAGCAAAGCATAGAAAAATATAAACAATATTTGTAATTGTTAAAACAATTTAGTGTATAAAACGTGTTGATTATATTTGTAATAACAGTGATAAAGTTATTAAATAACAATTAATGAAGACAATAAAAGTGACAAATAAGGAGTTCAATTTGAAAACAAGATTATAACAACTGTTATATATTATTTGTGCAAGTTGCGACATAGTGTTCCTGTGAAGAAACAATTTATTTGTGTAAAATGACTATACAAATGAATGACGAAGTAAAGAAAATCAGTCGATGGAGAGTTGTATCATCTCAGGTATGTGTTTTAACGGTTTTATATAACTAGCTTTCACCCGCAACTCCGTCCGCGTGTAATTAAAAACAAAACATATGTGAATGACCTATGTATTCTTCTAGACTGTACTCTGTGTAAATTTTATTGACATCCCTTCAGCAGTTTAGGCTACAAACTCTAACAAACATCCATCCATCCATCTAAACTTTCGCATTCACAATATTTGTAAGATCTAAGATTGAAACTAGATTTTTAGAAGTTTCTGGTATTTTGGGTACACAAAAATATTTCCATAAATAAACGATTAATTTTTGAATAAATTACTATGGAATAAAATTAAAAAAGTTATTAATAGAAAATTGTATATATTAAATGCACTCAGAGTTCAGCAATTTCATTAGTTTTAGATCATTTATTTATTTAAATTTAACGATGCTTCTTAATGATGAATTCCTGAAATTAATCTTTAAAAAAAGATTAAGTAACTAGTATCCTTCTTTATTTTTCATTTCCTGTTTTAATTTGAATCATTATTTATTTTTTTAAAATGACAATTGTCTTCCATAGAAATATTTTTTTAACTCTGTGAATCATAATATCTAGTAAGTAAATAACTTTTATAAACTGCAGTATTTAATTTAAGACTTTTTACAATGGAAATGTTAAAAGAATAGGCGAATAAATGTCTTATATTAATTTTAGGCACATCATAAACAATTAATAAACACTAACAGTATTTAAAATAATAAAATAAAACGTAGAAATTAACATCCAACTAATAATTCAACAATTTAATTGCCAAAACTTTTATATTATTTGTTGAAAAAACTTTGTAAATATTAAATGTCATTTTATTTTAATTTATAGTCGCGATCAAGAATGAAATTATGTGTTGTGTGCAATGAAAAAAAAAACTGCATGTCATATTTATTTGCATAAATTAAAGATTTAATGTCATCTTTATTAATCTATGACTTCATTTTAAATGCTAAACATTTAAATATTATTTTACGAATCAATTTTTTTTTTTAAGTTTAATGTAACAAATTTTATTAAAATGTAGATTTTCGGTTTATGTTTACTTTATTGACCGACTTCCCAAAAGAAGGAGGTACTCAATTCATCTGTATGTTTTTTTTTATTTTTTTTAGTTAAAAGAACTTGAAAATCTTATCAAATTGCACGCAATGTGTTTAAAATTTACTGGAACGTTTGTTTCTTTTTAGCTATATAATGCATTTATACTTAACATCTTTCTATAGACAAATAAAAAATCGAAATATATGCAAAATTATACAAATCCATGTTGATTGAAATTTTACAGTTTTGACAAGACAAGTTTTTTATAATTGCCAGATTGTTCTTTTTTCTTTATAAAACAAAAATATACACATTCGTGTTTTTTAATTGATTAAATTTACGATAATTTTGACTTATATTTCCAGGTATTAGCATGTTTGGCGCTAGATTTCCTGCTGGTGGGTCTAGGCATGTCTATAAGCTTCGTGACTATGGTCTTGCCTGAAGTCTTGGATGCAAAGGAAGGCCTCTCTATCAATAAGAAGCAAGCCTCGTGGTTTGGTAAGAAGACATTTCTAATACGCCTATATTTTTAACTACCTTACGCATTCCAGTTTTCATATTCATATGCAAACTAGTGTATAAGTTTATTTTTAAATAATACAGGTATCTTAAAGGACTTTTCATTATGGCCACTTGCAAGGGGTCGGCAACCTTTTCACAGTTATATGCAAACTTTTTCCGAGATAATCTTATTTAAATAATTAAATATTTATCGTTATTCCCGCTGCTTGTTCGTCCACTGGAATTGTGCATCAGTAAAAGTATTTTTATTTTAAATACTAGCTGTTGCCCGCAACTTGGTGTACGCAATATTAAGATAAAAAGTAGCCTATAATGTACCCGTCTTTGTCTGATACCCTTCAGTAAAAGTCCGGTCGTAATCGGCCCAACCGTTTCGGATATTGCCCGGAACAAACGCGGCTAGCGGGCAGACAAAAAAATTTTAAAAGCAATTCAAATAAGTCATCTTCCCGAAATCTGGATTTTTTCTTCAATACAGACACTCGAATTTTATTATATGTTTAGAATATTATTGAAATGTTTAAGAGCCAACAATATTTATGATGTAGATTGTGGATCCAAAGGTTGTGGACACCTGATTAAGGCACCCAAACTTGTTATCTGCTATCTATTCCGAGAACTTAAACGGGTTGCAATTTAAGTCTTAACAAGTAACCGTATTCTGTATAATTTTGTACACAAGTATATACAATTTTGCGTAAATCGAAATGTTTAAAATGAGTTTATCTGATTTTACTGATATTATAAATGCGAAAATCTGGATGTATGCATGGATGTTTATTAGAGTTTGTCGTCTAAACTGCAGAATGAATCCAATATTTGGCACAGATGCAGATGGCTACTTTTATATTTTGTTTTAATTCCAAGCCGATGGAATCGCGAGCGAAAGCTAGTATCGAATAAAATAGAAAAACGACGTTTTTCGTTGGTTGGATGAAGTCGCACGGGAAAACTAGTTGTTCCTGTGGGATTTCATCCACATGAAATTATAAAAATATATTTTATTGTTTATATTTGTCAATTTTTCAATAGCAAATGTCAAACTGACATGACATGACAAACATTGGCAATTTTGCTTCCTAGATGTTGGCAGCAACTTACGCTTTCTTTCCCACATTAGAATTTTATCCAAAATATTTACCCCCTGAGTTTAATGGCGTGAAAATATATAGCCTAAAGCGTGACATAAGTGTAGGGCTTTTTATTAAAAAAGAAAGAATTATTCAAAAATATGCTGTAATTGTTGACATCTTAGGCAACAAAGAAGTGTGTGTTTACGCTTTATTATAATAGCATAGAGTATATGTAGATATTTCTTTTTCTTTGTTTGTTAAGTGCTGATTTCGACATTATTTTTATTACACTTCTTCTGTTTACGTCATTGATGCGAAAGATGCAATCTTATAAGTAGATTAGGATTAGCATTATTTAAAAGTGTTAATTCTTTGCTTATCTGTTAATTTAAAACTGATCTAAAAGTAAAATACTTATGTTTCTATTGATTTTAGTTTGTCCTTTCCTTATTCAAACATCTAGGCCAATATATCGTTTTATTTTGGATAAAGATTATAAACACTAATTCTGTCTGCGACTTCGTCCGCGCGGAATTAAAAATAAACTTTGTAAATATATTTTGTGCTCTTCCAGACTATGTTTCATATCTTGCTTATCATTAAGGTGTGTTATGCCCTTTTGAAGTTATCCATCTACCATCCATCCAAACTTTTGCATTCATAATATTAGTAAGTTAGAACCGTGCGTTCGGAAAAACAAATGCATACTAATCTTTTCGTTGAACTATAGAAAATTAACTGCATTTGTGATCGACTATGATCCCTGTAAAAAAAAATAGATTTTGTATGTAATTCCAACAGACAACGTCCTAAAGTGTTTTCTGTGAAGTTTTTAAAAACTTGGTGTCATTATATTAGACAGTCGACCAAGTTTTTATTTTATTTCTGTATGATTGAAGCGTAATTCATGCATAAAATAAAATAAATTGTTAATTAAACTTGAAAAACCTTGTTATTACATGAAATTACTTAACTATTTTAATTGTTATCAATCTATCAACTTATCACTTAAGATGATCGTAGATCTTGATAAAAATTTGTAACATACAAATTAAACGTATAAATAAATCAACCAAACATTCAAAAGTGTCAGTAAACAGATTTTAAATCAATGTATTATTTTATAACATTATTTAACATATATTATAATATTGTCAATAGTTATGTCGTTAAAGAACATTATTTCCATTAGCAGGTTACTTTAAAAATGAATAAATTTATTTTGCATACGTAATGTGATCTTAATACAACCATGTTTTACTATACAGATAAATGAAGATTGAAATAATGACATCAACAATTATATAATTACTAGCTGTTTCTGTGCGGGTTCATCCACATGAGAGAAAACTCATTGTTTACATTTGTCAAATTCTCAATTGCAAATGTCAAAATCAACATTACCATAATAACCTTGCTTTCTTAATGTTAACAGCTTGTCGTTTATGGTCCCTTTCCCACATGAAGGTATTTTTCCAATTTATTTACCCCATAAGTTTAATAGCCTGAAAATATATAGCCTAAAGCGTAAGTGTAGAGCTTTTGTATTAATAAAAGAGTTATTCGAAAATATGCTGTGATTGCTGACATCGTACGCCACAAAGTAGTGTGTGTTTACGCTTTATTATATTAGTATAGATATATGATAGACGGGCAGGATTAAACGGTTCGTTTTTGTTTAAATGGATTAAACGCATGAACGTGTTTGATACAGTAAAAGTTAATTTGAAAAAGTGCAAAAACAAATAACTAATCCATATTAATCTTTCTTTTATTTAAGAGTCTGATATATGTTTTTTGTAACTTTTTTATCAGATTCAAAATAACTAACTAAACGTAATGTATTTCTCTGTGTAGACATTAAATGGATTGTAATGAAGTATTGGGGAAGGAATTGGCTCCTGTAACACAGGGCAACCTACTGCAGGAGTCAAGACTACCATGAAATGTATAACACCATCATCCACACAGTTGATAGTTAAATTCCTAGCTCTTATGTTTTTTTTTTGTTATAAGAATAGTAAAAACGCTCTAAATATCTAATTCAATCGAAGTTATGTTCCACACATTAAAAACCTTTAGTTTATTATTAAACCATTTACTATAAAACACGTATGCTAACTAATGAAATATATTAAATATGTTTTTTATATAACCAAGATATAATAAGATAAGAAATAAATTTACGATAATCCGATTCAAATTAAAATAAAAACGTAAATATATATGTAGATTTCCAATAATTTTATCTTAAATTTATTCTTCGACTGTGGGCGAGACACAGTTTTACTCGTATGTTAAAAACTTCCATAACAAACTAGTTAAGATAATGGTTGACTTAAACCTTGAGTTACCCTAACAGCTGTACTAAGTCATGCCATCTCTTTTACTCCCCTTGAAAAAAGTGGGAGAGCGATAAATACAGTTTGGGCCGTGGAAACTGACAGACGTCTCGTCTTTTTTTTCTTAACGTGTCACTGGCAACTTCCAAGAAACATTAATTAGTGTAATAAGTAGAGATAAAATACTGGATGGAATGGAGAGCTTTTTCTTGTTTACAATATTATTTCGTAGGTGTTATTGAACTGAATTCAATTAGTCAACTATTCAAAAACAAAACATGAAAAAATCCAATAAAAACGGCCAGTCAGAACAATCTTACAGCCGAATATTGAAAGGAATCTTCTACACTTCGCATCATAAGCATAGTTTATAGTGTAACAGCGTCGACGTTTTGTTGAAATTTGGAGTTTTAGCAAGGCCTTAACATCTAAGACGATGTTATACATTTTGATATCGTTTCAGTTTTTGGCTTGTTAATCTTAATATCAATATATCGAGTAAAAATTTGGATTTTTGGATTTTCTATGTATTGAAATAACTCAGAAATCGTGGACCGATTTTAAAAATTCATTCACCAAAAAATAACTGCATTGTCACGGAGTAACATAGACTATATGTTTTTACAATATTTTTATTCCACGTGGCCGAAGTCACGAGCAACATTTAGTGAGATAAAAGTTGTATGTAGAATGTTTTAGTTAACATCAATTACATACTTCCGCTAACATTAATACTCAACAGTCGAACACTGAAAGAACATTTAAACATGTTATAGTTTCTTAACTAAGGCCACACTTAGACTACAAATTTTAATAAAATTATGATGCCAGTCAAATTGTAAGCATACGAAGTGAGGTGTTCGAGATTCGTTTCAATATTCAGCCATAAGTTACTTATGTCATTACATTTTTAAACTGCATAAATTGTGTGTTAAAGGATATAGTATGAGAAGTAAATTGTTTTTTTTTTTTTATTTCCAGAGCTGTTAGACCTTAACCTACTTTAACTAAAATACGCTTTTTTAAGCTATTATTGTTGCTAAAGCTTGTTTTTTAAAAATATCTTTATAGCTTTATTAATAATGTTGTTTCTCTTATATTCGTTTATAATGAAGACATTATAAAACTTTCTATGGCCACAAGGTGTCCGCGTAGTATGTTATTTTAAAGTTCATATGTCATTTTTATTTATTTAACATTTTAATTACCCCATGTTTACGTAACAGTACCTTGAACATAACTTACTAAGGCCACAGATTAAGACGAATAACCATTTAAAATTAATTTTATAGCGTACTTAAAAATATTTTTTGTATTGATTATTAAAATAAATTAGATCACTAATAATTAATGTTTAATCTCTTAATTACAACTGAGTCGAGGTCAAAACTCAATCGTGTATTTAATTTGCAATGGTAAAACTGTAAACAGTTTTTTTTTCTGTCTATATTACCTATATTTTCTTTTATATTTTTGGTTATTGACAAAATTAAAATTATTGTAATTTCGAATTAAATTTTATTCCCTTGCCGATGAAATGTCTGAATCTGTGAAGGTTATGTTAACCGAAAACAAGTGCACGGAGTTGACACCATTTCCGTTATACGAATCCTTGCTCAGATATTATCGATATAACGGTATTTTATAATTAAAAAAAGAAAAAACGATCTCATGGAACAGAAGTATGAACAGTTTTTCGCCTTTCCTCGATCCTTATAATACTTCAAGAAGTTGTAATGCAAAGTTGAGATTAAAGTAAAAACTACGATTAGAGAATCTACCCTCATTCAATCGGGGTTATGCATAAATAAAACTACATAGTTATATTATGTTTTATAATTGTTCGTTATGTAGTCACAAATATCTTAATACTAGCTTCGCCTGCGACTTCTTCCGCGTGGAATGAAAAGAAACAAAAGCAAGTGGCCCATATGTTCTTCTAAACTGTGCTCAACATCTATGCCAAATTACAGACAGATCCATTCGGCCGTTTAGGCTACAAACTCTAACAAACTTCCATCCATCCATCTAAACTTTCGCATTTATAATATTAGTAAGGTTAGTAAGATGATGATATACAAAGGTGAATTTTCCAAATGTGTTCGAATGGTAAAGATAAATATTTTTTAATTCCAGGAAGTATGGCGTTTTTATGTCAACCACTGGGCAGTATATTTTCGGGGCCCCTTTTGGACTATTTCGGGCGAAAGAAGGCTTTATTTCTGGTTAACATTCCGCACTTAATTGCTTGGCTGCTTATGTACCATGCTTGGAATGTGCCTTCTCTGTTCGTCGGCAACGCACTCTTGGGTATTGGGATCGGTATTATGGAGGCACCATCAGTTACCTACGTCGGAGAAGTTACGTGAGTATTTATACGTCGTGCTTGATAGAAATTACAATCCATCTGTTTAAATAATTAAATAAATACAAATTTGTAGAAATAATATTTTTGTATAATTTATTTGGAAAATACGAAACGCTTAGCACGCTTCTACGCTAATAAAATTATATTTATTTGTAATTAAATAATCATTTATGTATTTAATATCAGCCGATTTTTTTTTCACCGAATAAAAACGACATTAACAAGGAAATATATTTGAATTAACATCATTGAAATGTCATTTATTTATATTTATATTCGTTTCCTCAATAAAACTCTTTTTTTTTAAACAGAATGTATTTCGAAATTCAAAAAAAAAAGGTTGAAGACATACGACAAACATTATAAATGTAGATCGTATTAGTTAATGGCCTACGTGACTGAATTTATCAGCCGAGATATTTGAGTGGCCAGTCTTAAAAACAATTTCATGTTTATTAAGACAATTGTCATTTGTCACTTCAGATTAAATGTCTGAAATCTGGCTATCGAGATTAATCTAGTACTTAATTGTTTAATTATTATAATTCAGTTAAAAATAGCAAAACAATATGCATTATTTTATTCGTAGTTAGCTCTCATTAGATTTCTAAGTGTATTTATTTTTTGCCAGACTAACAAATTTCGTCGTCGTGTTTGTCAAATGTTCAGGGGTTTTTTATAAAAAGGATGTTTTAATATACTCGTAGCTCAACTAAAAGTGTCCTTGATAAGTTATATTGAAAAACTATATAATTAAACTTTTGTTTTTGACTTTTTCCAGTGATCCATCAATCCGAGGATGTCTTACAACACTGACAAATGGTTTTACATCCGCGGGAATGTTCGTAGCGTACTTACTGGGCACTGTGTTGCCATGGAGACAGGCAGCACTTGTGTCGCTATCTGTACCTTTAGCAACGATGGCACTCGTATTATTGGTAAATATAACATTATATTAAAAATGTATCGAATTTACGCAAGACATGTACAATCAGCTGCATAAATTTGTAAACATTTACAAATCTTCTGAGACTTGTATACACCTTCAGTTTCAAAAATATGTATACCCGTTTTAAGTATTTAGCAGCCGTCTGTACTGTCACCTTCCACACAGAATTGCTATGCACCTTTAAACAAAAAATATCGACTCTTACGAAGAAACAATCAGGGCGTTATTAATATTTTAATAAAATAAACAACTAGGTTACCTGCATTCTTCACACATTCCAGACATTTATCGCCTCAAGACGTATAATACATTTATACGATTATCGCTTAAAAGATAGAATACCGCTAGCAAAGGTCACTGTACTTTTGTAATTAATTATATCCGTTCAATTACGACTTCCTATAACCTAAACGGAATAGATACTTTAATGTAAAAGGCGTCATTAACATTCTCCACACTGATGTCTTCAACTTTTAATCATTATTTCGTAACATCTTTATTTGAATTTTCAGGTACCTGAAACACCAATATGGCTGTTGTCGAAAGGTCGCCAAAAAGAAGCTCTAAAATCTCTGTGTCGTCTACGAGGTTGGGTGAAGCCGGAAGATGTAAAGGAGGAATTTGAACAACTTCTCAAATACAATGACCTCAATCAGCAATGCGTAGTTTGTTTTAAAGATGGAGAAAGTGATATGGGATCTTGTGAGCATATGAACTGTGGTATTATTGAAGGAATCATATTAAAGTTCAAACATGTTTTCTTCGTCAAAGAAACAATGAGACCATTCACTTTGGTGATGGGGTACTTTCTTTTTCATACTTTGAGTGGTCTCATACCTGTCCGTCCGAATCTGGTCAACTTTTGTAAGGCTCTGGGCATGAAATACGACGCTAAAACCTTCGTGGTAAGTAACGCTAAATAGAATCAGTAACACTGATGCGCAGAATCCGTCCCATTGACTAAACAGTCTGCTAAGTTAATTTAATCATTACAATCTTGCTAATATTATAAATGCGATAGCTTAGATGGATGGATGGATGTTTGTTAGAGTTTGTAGCCTAAACGGCTGAATGGATCTCAATGAAATTGGGTATACTGGTAGAGGATAACCTAGAAGAACACATAGGCTACTCATTTTTTTTAATTCCACGCGGACGGAGTCGCGAGCGAAAGCCAGTTAAGGCATAAAACTCACAAGATAATAAAATTTTACAAATTTTCTAATTCATAATTCTTATCATCTGATCAAAGTGTTTTTGTTTAATTAATTTAACCCCATAGGCAAAATATGTCGCAAATCGTTAATCGTCTCTTGGTATCTATAGTAACTTGCTTTGAAAAACAAATAGTTAATCTATTAATTAAGTTCTTACTTATGGTTTTATGGTCAACATTAAATTCAATGTTTGAAATATGTAAAAAAGATATGTTGAAGAGATTTATAGCCCAATAAATTAAAACACCATTAACTTGCCATGTACAATGTGTTAAACTAGCGCCATCTGTTATTGAAATATCAGTAGCATTTGAACTACATTTTTGTTTCTTTCAGGTTATAGTAGGCGCTGTACTTATATTAATGAATTTGGTATCGGCTGTAATAGTGAAAACGATAGGGAAGAGAAAGTTAGTTGTAGGATCACTCCTAGCCACGGCGTTCTGCAGTCTTGGTATCAGCGTGTACGCAAGTATCAAGACTCCTATGTCTGTATTCTCCTATGAAATGAGTACGTTCCCGGAGGCAAAAGAGGTGTGGCCAGTTGCCTTACTAATGGCGCTAGTGTGCGTCACGAGCTTGGGTATTCCATGGATTTTATTATCTGAGGTGTTTCCATTTAGGTAAGTTTATTTTTTGTTAAATTTTAAGTTGAAGAAAATGAATATTACATAATAAATGCATTAAGACCAACGTTTTAACAATTTTAATGCATAGTGTTTCAAAATTGATAAGTTTCTTTTAACTCTTAACTTTTTCTAACGAAATGAATCCTACGCTTATTGTAAATTCGAAAGTTTTAGATGGATAGTCTAAACTGCTTAACGAATCTTGATGAAATTGCATGCAATTGCAATTGCATGAAATTGCTGCAGATGTAGATGATAGTCTGAAAGAACACATAGGCAATTTACTTTTTGTTTAATTTAACGCGGGCGTGGTAATGCAATGTGTAATGTAAAATATGTAATAATAAAATAAATAGTAATAAAATTTTTAATTACCTTTACAGAAGTCGAGGTATGGCGACAGGATTGGCAGCGGCACTCAACTACGTCATAGTGTTTATAGCGACAAAAACCAATTATAACTTAGAAGCTAGTTTCCATATAAGCGGTACATTTGCTATCTACGCCATACTTACATTTATAGGAACAGTGTATTTATACTTATATTTACCGGAAACGGAAAACAGATCATTAGCGGAAATAGAAGCATATTATAAAGGAAGTCAAAAAATATTCGCAGACGACTGTCTTATTAATGCATTTAGAAAAAAGAAACCAAGAAATAACGACGTGATTAAACCTATGCTAGTCAATTAAACTTATAATTTTAATTGTGTAGTATTATTTGTTATTTTAAAATCACTAAGAAAACTACTACTCATTACGAGAAAAATGCTCAAATTGTTACTGCCTTAATTAGTCGTATGAGATAGTGAGATAATATCTTTTATTGTTAATTTTTCTAAGACAATGTTTGACATTATATTAAATTCAATTTATTTATAAAGACTAAGTATATGTAAGAAATAATAATAAAAATAAATGTTATCAAATATTGTTGTATTCATTTTACTGTAAGAAATAAATAGCAAAAACACCAAGGTAAATAATTGCAGCTGAAATAAACGATTTAAAAACAGGAAGGTACAAATGCAAAGTAACCTAAAGATAACAAAGAAAAGCAAAAGCATCAAAAAAAGAAGTAACAATCATTGCATTTTAAATCTTAACATTTTATCAGATGTAGTTAACCAGATTTAATTCCAAAGATTTTAAAAATTCTCTTACCACTAGAACGCTATATTATCATTGAGTGACGTTTTAACTATTTATTAAATTATTTATTATTATTATTATTATTATTTATTTATTGAAAACATTACATGACACAAATTAAAAAATATGCACAAATATGGCCCCGCAAAAACCATATAAGTTTAAGTTAATTTAGTAGCTTTGTTTATTATAACATATGTTTTTTAAATCATAACTACACAGAAAAATTAGCGAACAAAAGGTAATTGTACATTTAAATTAAATACGTTTCTTATCTTGACTGTTTTGCAAAATTCGAAAGAAATCTCTCGTTTCTCCTTTGACAGTTGTTGCCCATGTTCGTGGTCTTTTACAATTTGTTTTACAAGTACTTTCTTGCAATGTACTCTCTTGTATTTGCTCTTCAGAAGTCAAATCTTTTAATATTTCAACATTATCAGGTGCTTCAGATACAACTAAGTCTTCTTTTGTGACAAATGTATCTTTAACTTTATAAATAGAATAATAATAATCTTTCATCGCTGTTGTATGCAGCTTTGAAACATCTGGAGTACAAGATTTCACGTTCTCCGAATTGTTTGGACTTTCACATTCGATCATTTCGTAATCTGAAAAAAAATATTTCAATCTTAAAAGTAATTATAAAATGTTTTTACTTTTCGATATCAATTCTTACAAAAGGTTTATGATCGTATCTTGCCTTTTTACATTGCCCTTTACATTTTCGAATATATTTAATTCAACTTTCGATTATTAGATTTCCTAATAATCTTTATACGCATAATTTTAAAAATCTTTACATTTTAAGTAATATCTTATCAAGAACTTGCAGAAGGTTTATGGTTGATAAAAAACCAGAAAGGAGTAATATCCAGTTACTAGGTTTAAATATATTAATTTGTTTCCCAATATATTAGTTAGTCCTAGAAATCGTAATCTCTTAATAATATGCCGTAGGATGGAATTGAAAGTTCAAAAGTTTTGTCTATGGTTTATTTATTTTTGGATACATTTATTAGATTTAACAAGCGAAATCAACCATACTATGTGGACATTGTGTCGTCACTGCGGTAGTAAAGTCTGAAAAATAATTCGTTATTGATAAGTTAATGGCAAAGTTTTTTAAATGGCAACATTGGTAGTTCCTATATTTTACTAATAACCGGGTTGTTATTGAAAATTTGAGATTTGAATTTTGAATTTGAGAATTTACCTAATGTAGTAAAGAAAAAACGCTTCTGTTAAAATAACCTAATGTTAAAAAATATCGGATAACATAAAATACTTGACTAAACAGAAATGCCTGATAGAAATCACTAGCAAAGTTGCCGGGTTGAAAAATTTAGGAGTAATTTTATATTTCAGATAATCAAACTTTAATTTTTGAGCATCTATCGTACCAATTACAAGCCTCAAAGTAAACCACCTCTGCAAATAAAAGCGCTTATTAGATTTAGTAAACATTGGTACATACGTGCGTTATAGTCACAATTGTACTCGAACATATCGCATTGGTCAAGAAACTTGCGGCGACTGCAGCCATCGGGCGAGGTGGCGCACACCGGTCTGGAATCGTGGACACATGCCATCGACAGGCTGCAGTAATTGATCGGCTAGGACAAACATATGGTAGATTCAAACTTATGACGAGTAGAACTTGTTAGTACAGTTGATGTATGTGAATGTTCGGCGTGTATAGTGAGTGTTGCAAGTTGTCAACTTCGACTTAAGATGTGCGTTTCCAAACGTATTCGACAGTAAATGCATTCTTGAATATTACCAAAATAATAATAAATAAACAGGGAAGAGCAAGGTGTGGAAGTTGTCTATCAAAATAAAGAAGAAATAGTAGAGGAAGGAAGATATTTGATCCTAATAATACTGTGTTTTTAATAATCAAAGTCTATTAGCGACCTATCCTACTGAAAGATCTACGAAGTGGCAACGAATAGCATTGAAAAATTTAAATCGTCAAAAATAAAATTTACCGAATATGGATAATAAAATCCTGGCGTCATTGTCGCTCGCATATAATTCTCGAAATAGTATATTTTAGACTTCATTATTGTATCACGCTGTAACAAAATACAACTCTTCTAATTATATGTATTATAAGGAATAATAGACATTTTTAGTGTGGCATCATTTCCCACATTATATAAGGGCCGCCATCTTTGAAAGTCGGGCATTCGCTCGCTGGC